GTAATCAAAAATGATATTTGGAATCTCTCAAATGTTTCTAATGTTTTTAGGTCTTGTGATTTATTCTTTTTCACGATGATTGTACTCGGGTCACTTAGCTTTTCTTATTAAAATCCAAAACTATACTTAATCATATTATTTCTCACTTCAACATTATGATCAAAACATAGTTTGAGGTAATAATTATATATTTTCACACTGATAATATTCGTGACTATTTTAACCAAATATTATTTTCCTTCTTTCAAAAGGAAGGAATTGATTATGAGTCCTTTAGTGTCTATACTCTAAAATAAAATAGAATAGTATAAAGAAAAAATAGTCATTTTCTCACCACTACACATGCCATTTGTTTCAAAACCATGCACTCAAACATTACTAGGAGAAACTATGTTAACTACTCACCTATCTTATCAACTAATTACCATCAAGAGAACTATACTTTCGTAGTCTTATAGAAGTTTTATCTATATTATTTTCTGTTATCCAAGCCACCAATAAACTCATTTTTTGAGTCTTTGGATGTCTTGCGTACATTCCTATATATCAGTCTCAAAGAAGAAAACTTGACCTTAGCACCATCAAGTGTGTTTTTATGAGTTATTTGCCAACACGCAAAGGATATAAATGTTACCATCAAAATATCCAAAAGTTTTATGTCCCCACTAATGTTACCTTTATTGAGATCAAGTCCTCTTCTCATTACCCTTATCTTTAAGAGAAGACTATATTAAAAGATAAAAATTATTCATTCTATGATATTTCTCCCTTACCCTTAAACACAATGTCCTCTAAAACAATCATTCTACCAGAAAACCAAAACTCACAAAATGACCTTGAACCTCAACCAATGCAAGACCCATGTTTTTCTCAAATCTATTTAGGAAGGAAAAATTTGGACTCTAATTTGGATCAAGTTCAAGGATCCGAAACGAAAGCTGGAAATGAGGCAAGCACTATGAATCAACTTCTTTATGGTACTAAAATGGTTGTTATACTTAGAAAGGAATAAGAAAATGCACTAAGCACTCACTCTATCCAAAGTCAAATTGTCTCATGGGTTTAAATGCAGTATCTATCTCTAAAACATTTTCTAAAACTTTAAATTGTGAGAAATAGAAAGATGCTATGAGTATCTAAATGTAGGTACTTGAAAAGAATTAAATTTAGGACGTGGTAAACTGTCAGAAGCCTTTGACATGGCTCTGATATGAAGAAAGAAATGTGAGGAAAAAAAAGAGAAAACGAAGAAAAAGAATAGGGGACTAAAGTCGAAGAAGAGAATGGATAGGTAAATTTTTATTGATTCTTGATAATAATTACAACAATAGAAGGAGGGCCTTTTATATGCCAAAATACAATAAAAAAGCGACATTAATGGCTGGAATCGGTGGTCGTCACTAGTTGCAATGGTGATCGCATGAGTTGATGGCGATGACTCGAGCGGCAGCTGCAGGATCCTGATGAGTTGGTTAGGGTTTGTCAACGCTAACCCTAACTGACTATATGAGTTTACTAGTTTGCTCTTTGGTGTACGCATTACCTATTTTACCCCACTTGTTATACTAAACCCTAAATGGATTCCTGACAATACCCTCCCCTTCCACATCAACTTTGTCCTCAAGTTGATTTGTGGAAACCTTTTCTTCGAGAGTCCCTTCTTTAACAATTTTCTCCATGGGCATTATTGTTTTATTTGCACAACGGTGTCCTGGGAAGTACCGTTCTCCACACTTGTAACAAGTAACCGTTACTCTTCTAGGTTTCGTTTCCCTTCGGGTCGATGGATCATAATTTCTAGTTTCAGATAATTCAACTTTATCCGTAAGATATGAACCTCAGGACAACTCTATCACATATTGTTCCTAAAATAAGATTTGTTTAAATGCTTGATTGAGCGTTTGTGCCTTGAGGAGTCCTAGCATGGGTTATAACTGTAGCCTGAGGCTACTGATAAAGATAGATATGAAATCTTTCTGAAAGTGTTAAGTTTTCTGCATGCATGAGAAAATGTAAATGTTTAAATTGCTCTAAATAATCAAGAATAACTATTTGGGATAGTTTGGCGAACTCCTCCATGAAGATCCCCTCAAATTGTCGGCAAAATTCTTCCACAAAATATTCCTAGTCCAAGGTATCGACTTTGGCTAGCCACCCGTGGTACTATATATCGGCTAGTTTTCCCAAATATAGTGATGCAATCTCCACCTTTTACTCATCAGAAGTATTGTGGATCATAAAATATTTTTCACACCTTCAAACCCACCCACGAGAGTTTATCCCTTCAAAAAGTAGAATTTCCACCTTGAGAAGTTAAAAAGGTTGGGCGCAGCCAGTTCAATGCTTAGGGTTCATTGGGCAAATTCGGTTTTGGGCTGGTTCGGATCGGTTTGGTTTGGTTCAAACCAAGTTGGGTCAAGTTGGCCTAGTCCAGATCGATTCGAGTCGAACCGATTCAGTCCACCTCCTCCAGTAGTCCAAGTTGGTCCGATGAACCAAACCTACATAAGGTTGAAAACCTTACATAGCGCATGTCACTAGAGGGGGAAGTAGACCCCTTTCCTCGTTCGATTTGGTTGGCGGCTTCAGCTGTTCGTCTACCGAGGTTTGAGATTTGGACCCATTCGCCCGCTTAGCAAGGGAAGCAGATTCCCACCTCTCGCGCATCTGCTAATGGCTTCAGTTGATCTTCAGAGGGCAGCCCACCCATCCCAATCCATGATGGTGTTCAACTGTTGGTTGAATTCCTTCCTCATTTCATTTACCTCTTTCATGAAGGAGGTAAGTTTCTTATCGACATCCTTCATGGTAAGTTCGGGTGTCCCGAGAATCTCTGATTCGACGGCCATCGCTACCTTCGCTTTTGACCGAGTGCGGGCTGCAACTCTACTGAAGGATTAGGCCAGTTCCTGCTCTGATACTAACTTATCAGAAGCCTTTGACATGACTTTGATCTGAAGAAAGAAAAGTGAGAAGAAAAAGAAGAGGGGACCAAAGTCAAAGAAGAGAATAAATAATTAAATTTTTATTGATTCTCTATGATGATTACAATAATGGAAGAAGGGCCTTTTATAGGCCAAAATACAATAAAAACGACGACATTAGTGGCTAGAATCGGTGGTCGTTAATAGTTGCAGTGATGATTGCAGGAGTTGATGATGATGACTCGAGCAGCAGCTACGAGATCCTAATTAGCTGGTTAGGGTTTGTCAACCCTAACCCTAAATGACTACTATGAGTTTACCAGTTTGCCCTTTGGTGTGTGCATTACTAACCCTCTTGTTATACAAAATCCTAAATGGACTCTTTACCTAAACCTACCAAGGGAAAGAAGACCAGTTAGATGCAAGTGGGCCTTCACTATCAAGTACAAACCCGATGGAACCACAGGGAGGCACATGACAAGATTAGTGGTCAAATCGTATATCTAAACATATGCAATTGACCATCAAGAAACATTTGCACCATTGAAACGATGATTATGGTACGTATCCTACTACCTACAGTTGCTAGCTTCAAGACAATTGCAATTTGATTAAAGAACGTCTTCTTATATAGAAATTTACATGAAAATTCCATCTAGGTTTCCTAAGGAAGTAGGAGCAAACAAGTATGCAAATTAAAAAAATCACTATATAGTTTAAGCAATCACCACATGTATGGTTTTGGGAGATTTGTAAAGGTAATGCTATTTATAGGGTACAGATAGAGTCAAGAAGACCACACATCATTTATTAAGTATTCAGAATCAAGAAGAGTCATAGTCCTCCTAGTATATGTAGATGAAATAATTTGCACAGGAATGACGGAGAAAGGTAGCTCTCAAGCAATACCTGGCTAAGAATGTGAGGTTAAAGAATTAGGGAAATTAAAATATTTCTTCATAATAGAAGTGGCCTACTCAAAGTTTAGAATATCCATCTCACAACAAAATTATGTCACAAACCTTTTGAAGGAAAGTGGCAAGCTAGTATGCAAACCTACTATCACACCAAATGATCCCAAGGATTAGCATAAGAAGACTCATATATCGACAAGGAAATATACAAGAAATTAGTGAAAAATTGATATACTTATTACATACTAGGTCAGACATCACATATAGAGTTAGTATAGTGAGCTACTTTATGCACAAGTTCAAGGAAGTACATTTGTAATCTGTCAATAGGATACTCCAGTACTTGAAAAGTACTCATGGGAAGAGAATCATGTTTAAAAGAAATAATGGGCTACTTCATAAAGCATATACTGATACTGACCATATAGGATCACTAATTGATATAAAATTCACTATTGAATATTGCACCTTTCTAGGAAATCTAATTTGGAGAAATAAGGAGCAGAATATGGTAGTCCAATCTAGTGCAAAATCAAAGTTCAGGGTGATGACTCAAGGCGTGTACGAATTTCTATAGTTAAAAATAATCTTAGAAGACTTAAAAAATTTAGTGGGATAGATCTATGAGACTCTATTGCGACAATAAGTTAGTAATTAATATTACTCCCAGTTCGATATAACTGACATAACTAAACACATTGACGTAGATAAACATTTCATCAAGAAAAAATCGGATTGTGAATTGATATGCACTCCATATATGTCTACCGTGCAACTGGCAAATGTATTGACAAATAATTGAATAGTTCTGAATTTCGGGCTATTATTGTCAAATTGAGAATGGCTAATATCTATTCACCAATTTGAGGGGAAATGTTAAGAAGTGTAAAATATATATTAAGTAGGGTAAATGATATATTAGTAATATACCCCTCTTGTTGTTTAATTGATTTGTTTTTATTGCTCATGTAAACCTATACATATAGGTCTCTCGTATTCAAGAAAATACACACATTCATTCTCCACATAAATAAATATTCAAAAAATAATAATAATAAGTGTCTAAAGTTGTAAAAGAAAATTATGCAATACCCTACAATAGATGACAAGAAAAAAAATATCTTGCTCAAAGTAAGAAACCACATGAAAAATAAGCACTTACCAAGCCAGGCAAAAGAAACATAGGACCTCCATAATCCCCAGGCCAATGACCATCATGTGCCTGGAGAGTTGAATGGAAACTTATAGCCCTCCTTAATGTGTTTGTAACTATCTCCTCAGTAGCAACTTCTGAATCTTTTAGTTTGTCATGAGGTAGAACTTTTTCGAGTGGGTTCTCTTTAGCAAACTAGTTGATGGAAAAAGGCAAAAGAGATAAATCAGAAAACGAAACTCATAAGAAAAGACTTTACTAAATTTATAGCTTCCAAGATTATTTGTGCAAAAAGCAAGAGGAGGCTGCACTGGAATAGTTTTAGTATTAAGAAAGATAATTACTTTTGTTATTTAATATCCTCAACCTATTTAACTTATTTAGGTAGATTTTAAGTAATTAACAAACTAGGCTGTTTAGTTAGAATTTTTTGATAGAATAAGAAATATTATTAGAAAACAGAGCAAGAACTTACAAAGACAGGGGATAAAACAGCCTCCAAAAAACAGAGGACAAACATCATAAGCAGAAACAAAAAACAGTATATTTAACAAAGATAAAGATATGTCCCAAAAACACCCATTAGCCTTAGTCAATAAAGAGGCCAAGAAAATCATTATTTTGGAAATAATCTAGGAAGGGAGTAGCAATCTTCAAATATTCTGTTATTACACCCCAGCCACAGAACCCACAAACCTTAACAATTAATTCTAGCCTTCACCTCGTGCCCAGAAAGAAATGGATTCAGAAAACAATCAAAAGGAGCTATTCACACCAAACCAAGAGTACCAAACAACCTAGTCTAACAAGTTCCAATACACAGCACAGTGAAGAAAATGGTGACCATGAGACTCCTCCTTCCTCAACAGCATAACACAAATTTCTGGGGTGAGAGCACGATTAGGCCTCCATAGTTTGAATTTTAATTCATAAAAATTTTGGTTCCTCTTTTGTTCTTTTAATATTTTCTTTATTAGTTACAACTAATGTTTATATAAAGTCCAATGGTTATCAACAACAAAGAATAGAACAATGATAGATTAAGAAGCTTGTGCTAGGCTTTTATTCCCTTTATCTCTCGGTGTTTCAATGTTTTGGTTTTTTTCGTTTAAAATATCTGGTCCAATCTACTTCCCCCTACATTCCTTTCCCTTAATTAGTATTAATAGGCACAAAGGGTGTGTAAGAATTTTCAAACAAGATTGAACTAATCAACATTAATGCTAATAGAATTAGGATAATACTACTTATTCAAAATACAAATAGGAAAACTAAATACTAACAAGAATAAGATGCTCAATTTACATAGGCAATCCAGAATTATCCATTCTACATCATAAAGTGTAACATAGAGCAGTATAATGTGTTTAGGGAGGAGTATAGTCACCGCATCTTGATTTCTCAATCTTACGATGTCAAACAATTAAAATATCATCAGCAAATACGCAAAAACGAGTAAATGATTAATAAATTAATACCTCAAAATTGCTAAGTTTGAAACAAAAGAAGAAAAAAAAAAACATTGTTATCCATGCGGTTTCCACCCAAAGAAAATACTTCTGGAGCACGCAGCGGTCTCCCTAAGCAAGCAAACAAAACACACAGCTAAACCATTACAGATATTCATAGCTATACAAGTGCGAACGCTAAGAAAGCAAAAGAATAAAGTAAGTAAATGGAGCAAACCTGCATACGCATGAGTAGATCTGAACTGTGTTTCTTCTCGAACCGATGCTTGGAGAAGTTTTCTCGAACATTCTCGATTTCCCTAAGCTCCTCTGGAGATCCAAGATTTGGATGGAACTCCCACACTTGTCTCCCTACGTGATTGTTCGTCGTTCTCAGCCATGGACTCCCTCCCTCTGCGATCTTCAGCTTCCACATTTCCTCGAGCACTCTCCACACGCAGAAATCAACAAGATAATGCAAAATGCGAGGCACTCGAGGTACTTATATGACAATTTAGATCGATCTTTTTCTCATCTCCCGTTCACTTACTCGAGAAACAAACAGAAAATAAGAGATGGGGAAAATCCGTAGGATCCAAAAAAAGCGAGAGAGAAAGGGAGAGTAATTAAAAAGGTTAGGATAAAAGCGGAAAAAGAACTTAATGCTTACCTAATCAGAAAAGGGAATCACACAGTGGGACAGGGACGACGGACGAGCGTGTGGCCACAGAGCGACGTGAGTGTTTCGTACGTCATGTTTGCTCTCTCATTTTTCTTTTTGAACTATCAAAGCTTTTCAAAATCGACTGGACTAAAACATTGCAGTTATATATTTTTTTTCTCAGTAAAATAAAAAATAAAAACACCTGAAAGCGTGCACGTGTTTGGTCACGTGGCGTAGGACAAACCAACACAAAAACAAAAATGACAAGGAATTTTTCACGTTTTTAAATTTTCAAATTCAAAGTATCTTGCGTCTGAAATACTTTGTTCGGTGCACTAGACCCCCACGCTGTTGAGTAAATAAGATTAGAATAGATTAGTGTTTTTTAAAGTGTACTAAAATAAGGATGGGAACACGTGGGCTTGTTTTAAGTTCGAAATGAATTTATATTTTTTAATTAATTTTTGAATGTAGAATATAATTTTTTTAATAATTATATAAATATTTTTTTAATTAAATAATAATTTTATTTTAGAATATCTATTTGATAAAGAATGTATGAGAAACAAATAAGAAATCAGGTGTTTATATAATTATAATTTTTGAATTTACAGTTAGGTAAAAAAAATTTAAATAGATGATTATTACATAAATATTTATAGTTAATTAAAAACTAAAATTTATTTTTATATTTAAAATATTTTAAAAAATAAATATTATAGATAATTATTATATATTCAAATTGTAATATATGATTAATGGTAATCAGTTAAAATTTCTAAATTAAAATACAATAAAATTCTTATTAAAATTAAATTATATAAACGATTTAGATTTTTTATAATTAATTAAAATAAAATTTTATTTTAGAAAATAATATTATTATATTAGTTTTACTTTGAAAAAAAAATGTTTTTTAAACAAGAAAATGTCATATGATACATTCTAGTGTTTTATATACTATCTCAACAAAATAAAGAAATGTTGTATCACAAAGTTTCAATTTTCTTTTCACATGTAGAACATAATTTGACACATTCTAGTGCAAAGATTATACAAATTATAAAACATATTACAAAATTAGTTGTTATTGATTATATTAAAAACAAGATCGAACACTAAAGAATTTATTACACATGTTGATTTGTAAAGATTTCATGTTCAATATGATGCGAAGCAGGAATGTGTAAGACATTCATCTCATCATGTAGTTAATCTATGATGACAAAGAACCAAAATAAATTGATCTAAAATTAATACATAAAAAAAAGCATCCTTATCTACTTGAATGAATTTATGATGAGTGAAAATTAAGTAAAATTCAGCAAATAAATAATATAAAATCTACCTCAAAACATTTAAAAATAATCACACAAATATATTAAAATTTTTAACGTGAAAAATCCCTTTAATGTGAATAGCAAAAATCACGGCCCCAGAAATTTTAAATGAAACATGTGTATTAAAAAGGTCAAATGCGGAAGCGTAATAAAAATTTTGATTTAACATCCCTTACACTAAAACCAAAAACGTGCTCAAAGTATAAAAGAACAAACTGACTAAAAGAGAAACTCGAAAATAAAAGCTATAAATATGACTATGGAGTCTTCAGGCGTCCCCTTCGCCGTCTTCCTGCGGAACGGGCTCGGCAACAATGTCTTCCTAATCTGAAATGATTAAATAAGGAATGAGCTACACCAGTCCAGTAAAGACATCACACTATCTCACCGTCACGGAGGTAAAGGTGGGTAGAAAACACAAAAGGACCAATGGAGCATAGTTTACAACAAAACTCGTTTATTAACATAAAAACCTTTACTATCCACTTATCTCGGTGAAATTCACAAAAACAATATACGAAAACAGTAACATTATCATTATCATGAAATCATATGAGCTGTATAACATAACACTTATCACACCTTTGCAATTCAATCATTACACAACATATTCTTCCTCATTTACCACCCTACTAGCATCCATGGGGATCCATAGGGGTCCCACTACCCGTGAACCGTTAACACTTGTAATCAGATTCCAGGGTAAAACGTGTCCCCATACCCCGTCCGGTATGAGGGTAAAACGGGCCGTCCCCATACCCCGTCCGGTCTGGGCGCCAAAACACATAAGGTCTCCATACCCTGTCCGGTATGAGAGACCACAATCCCGGTAGGGTTCCCTACGGACCTGGTCCGTCCACCATCTCCCAGAAAATCTAGTCAGGCTGATCACATTATACAATTATCAATTTACATAACCTTTCATTCCCCTTTTCCTCAGTCAGCATCATCAATTCACACACGAACAAGCAAAACAGTAATTTATGCCAAACAAGACAACATACAGCATCGGTTTCTCAGTCATTCAACCCATAATCAATAAAACAGTAAAATATGCACACGAAACTATGAAATGAAAACATCAGACTTCATACTGCATTTAAAACTGTAAAATAGACCAAATAACAGTTAACCGACAAACACACTAGACTCGGGCTGCATTAGCGACCTTAAGCAATTTCACACATTCGTTGATTCAAGAAATACCATTTTATCATTATTGAACTTTAATACCGTGATAGGAAATAGGGTGAGGGGTCCTTACTCGTTTCGGAGTCCGAACACAGCTCCACAGTGCGCCTACAGGCTGTCCCTAATTTTTTCTAAATTTTTTCTGGGGAACTGAAACGCACTACTGGTACCTGCACGTGTTCCAAAAAATTCCAAATTAGACCCAGGGCCCCTTTCGGCCAATATCGTAATTCCGGCATGGTGGCTCCGGTTCTGGTAGAATTCGGCCACACTTACATTGGTCCCTGTGATAAAACAACCCTAGGGCCCTCGGGGGGCCAAAAAATTACGAAAAACCGAAGCTTACCGGCGGCGGTGCTCTCAGGTGCGGCGGCTCTCCGGCGAGGTTCGTGTTTTGGTGATTCGGCTTCGATCAACCTGTAGAGAAAAGAATGGTGATCACGGTGATATAAAAATTGCATCAAACGGAGGCCGGGAAGGGCCTCATCGGAGGCAAAAACCGAGGAGGGGCGCGGCGGCGCCGCTGGGTTTCGGCCGTTTGGCCGGGATTTTGGCTCTGATTTGACAACAAGGGAACTCAGCGTGGAACAACGAGTCGGGGGTATGAAATTTACCTCGATCGGCGATCGAAAAACTCTCCGGTGCGGCGGCGGGTGGCGGCGGCCGGCTCCTCCAGCGTCTGGTTCGTCTTCTCCGGCGAGGGCAGGCGGCTAGGGTTTTTGTGGTCAGGTGTGGGGGTTCTATTTATACCCTTTTGCCTTTTGATCTCAGCCATCCATTTTGATTAAATCTGGGCCGTCCGTTTTTTATTAAATTTGGGCCGTCCGTGCGCGTGCATTTGGGCCGTCCGTGCGCAGGCATCTGGGCTGTCCGTGCGCACGCTTGATCTGGGCCGTTCGTGCGCACGGGGACACATCTGGACCGTCCGATCGCGCGCACGCGGATTGCCCACGTGGCCCATTCCCTGGTCGACGTGGTCTTGTCACGCGGCAGGTCCTGGTTGGCCAGGGCTGCTGACTGGGTCACTGACGTGGCACTCTTTTTAAAAAAAATTAAACTAAATAAATAAAATTAATAAAATAATAACAAAAATGTCCAAATTGTTTGGGCGTTACAACTCTCCCCCCCTTAAAGAAATTTGGTCCCCCAAATTTGCCTCTTACTCTTGATCGAACAGATGAGGATACTGGGCTCTAAATTCTGATTCCAGTTCCCAAGTAGCCTCCCTGGGCGTGTGGTTCTGCCACACGACCTTTACAAATGATATTTCCTGGTTACGGAGTATTCTGCTCTCTCGGTCCGTGATACCGACCGGTACTTCTTCATAAGATAAGTCCTCTTGGAGTGGAAGCGGTTCATGAGCCAAGACATGAGAAGGGTCCGGGTTGTACTTACGTAGCATAGATACGTGAAACACGTTGTGAACTCAGGAAAGCTCGGGAGGCAGTGCTAGTCTGTAAGAAGCGGTACCAATCTTGTCTAAGATTTTAAAGGGTCCAATATATCGAGGGTTTAATTTTCCCCTCCTGCCGAACCTACTAATTCCCTTGAAAGGAGTGACCTTAAGAAATACTCGGTCACCTTTTTCAAACGCTAGATCCCTCCTCCGGGTGTCTGCATAACTCTTCTGTCTACTCTGGGCTGTCTGAATGTTCTTTCTGATTTTAGCTATCTTCGAAGTGGTATCCTCTACCAACTCCGGACCGAACAATCTTCTGTCGCCCACTTCCTCCCAACAAATCGGTGATCTGCATGGGCGTCCATATAACGCCTCATACGGAGCCATGCCAATACTTGCTTGATAGCTGTTATTGTAGGCAAACTCTATTAGGGGTAAATGGTCATCCCAATCACCCCCAAAGTCAAGGGCACAAGCTCGGAGCATATCTTCCAGTGTACGAATTGTTCTTTCTGATTGTCCATCAGTCTGAGGATGGAAAGCAGTGCTGAGGGACAGCTTTGTTCCCATGGCTTGCTGGAAACTATTCCGAAACCGAGAAGTGAATCTGGGGTCCCTGTCGGATACCACTGTCACTGGGACTCCATGCAATCTGACTATCTCCCGGATATACATTCTTGCCAACTTGTCCAAAGAATCAGTTATTCTGATGGCCAGGAAGTGGGAAGACTAAGTGAGTTGGTCGACAATTACCCATATAGCATCATGTCCTGATCGTGCCTTGGGTAGTCCCGATACGAAGTCCATGGTGATATGTTCCCACTTCCACTCTGGAATCGGTAAAGGCTGAAGTAACCCACCTGGGCGTTGATGTTCTGCTTTGACCTGCTGACATACCAAGCACTTAGATACAAAGTCAGCTATATCTCTCTTCATCCCATTCCACCAGAACTGAGGTCGCATAGTTTGGTACATTTTTGTACTTCCTGGATGCATGGCAAACCTTGAACTATGGGACTCCGTCATGATGTCTCTTTTTAACTCGCTGTCGTCTGGGACACACACTCTGTCCTTGAAATGAATCAATCCGTCGGCAGGGATCTGAAATTCTGAACTCACTCCCTGTTCTGCATCCTTCTTGCTGGTTACTAGGGCGGGGTCGACTGACTGGGCTTCCTTTATTCTTTGGATTAAC